TCTTGTGAATTAACTCACTAATTGTTCAGAGTCTGTTAGAAAATGTACGTTGTGAGTAGAGTCCAACAGAGGGTGGACGCAGCATAGGATAAAACAAGTTCAGGCAGGGCAAAGAATCCAGGGAACACCAGGAGAGAAGTCCTGGCCGGGCTGAAGCAGCTGAAGGTGCTCTCTGTGTCCCATCTAGATGCTGCAGTTAGAGCAGGCAGGGTGGTGGGAAGTCCCGTGGAGGAAACACCATGTGCAAGAACCTCTGGGAAGGAATGCCATTGCTCCGAGACTGGGAATAACTGCATGGCTGGGTGTTAGTTACAAGAAGACCTCATATTTAGCAATGACGCGGGAGAGGGCCACAGGTTCAGCTCATGACCAGCACGGAAGCTGTGTATGTCCCTGAGACCAGGGGGACCCTTGTGGAAACTTCCAAACATCTCAGGCTATTGCCAAGACTACTATTGCGCTCTATAAACTGACAGTAAAGCCCACTGCTGATGACAACACGTCAATATTTCATTGAACATGGAGAAGTCAAGCTGGTGGGTGTCTAAGGCCTTCACTCCTACCGACTGGTGTTCATGGTACTGGAAGGTATACTCTGCTTGCTACCAGGGGAAAAAGGTCAACACCAACCCAGCTACAAACCCTTCCATCAACAAGAGTGGCTGTCTGAGTGACATGCCGATGCCACAGTGACGCAAACGTGGGAGGACCCACCCACTCTTTGACTGGATCTAAGGTCCACTCCACGAGATGGAACCCATGCCTGACACTGCCCAGGCAGGCAAGAACTGGAGACTGGACAGGCCACAAGCACCAGGGAAAACCCAGTATGATTGTCAGCTAAGGAACAAAACAATAAGATGATTCCTAAGGACATCCTGCTATATCCACATCAGTGCCCTGCCCAGCCATCATCATCAGAGAAGCTTCCTCTTACTGTAGACGGGAACAAATACAGAGACCCACAACTGGACAACGTGTAGAGAATAAGAGGTTTTGGAACACCCCGTCCTAAATGGAATGTTGTAATCAAACCTCTCCCCTCAGGGCTCATGGAGCTATGTGGAAGAGGAGATGGAAAGATTGTTGGAGCCAGAGAGGACCGGTGATTCCAAGGAAACAGTGTCTTCCAGACACAACGGGACTGACACACATATGAGCTTACAGACACCGTGGCAGCACACACAGGTTCAAGCTAGACTGTGTCCCAGTGCTGAGAAGGGGGAAGTGGACGTGCACTACTACCCTTATCCAAAAGTTATCTCCAATTAACATGTTTGCAAAACAAACAAAAAAGCACACAAGCAAACAAACAAAACACTGGTTTTCTCCAATGGAGTTTCACAGGGAGAGAGGCTGGGGCTGGGAAAGGGCACAGTGAGTCTCCACAGGTCAGTGGCAAGGAGGAGGGAGGAGGGTATGAGGAGCACACAGAGAGGACTGATTGCTGGGTTCCATTACCTAGAAAACCAGAAGGTATTTAGGGAGAAATATTTCAAAGTTCATTTGCAGTTTACAAGTTGTCTTTACAATTGATCCTTTTGAAGTGTTAGCAGAAGTATTTTACCCATATAGGAATCAATACTGAAACATTTAGATGAAATACATGCTTTATGTAGAGCTCAATAAAAATTAATAAAAAAAGAAATAAATGCTTTGCTAATGGGTAGCATAATTCTACTTGCTGACATTATTCATATTTTTTGTACACTCAAAGCTGATATTAGTCACATATTCATTATGCTTATTGGCTACAATTAATACAGCAATACAGTGTATCAATAATGACAAATAATTTGAACTCACATGAACATGACTCAGAAAGGTAAATCTATGTGTGCCGTATAAAGGATCCTGAAGAGTTGGTTAGCCACTTCTACCCATTCTTTCACTGCTGTGAGGATACAGGCTTTGTCCTCTCTGAAGGACACGGCTACACAGTACCACTGAACTTATTATACCTTGATCTTAGACTCCCAACCTTATTCTTCATAAACTGCCTGGCTGGAGGCATTTTCTTACAGCAGCACAGAGGAAAAGGCAGAGCCAAACATTTATTTTAATGATTAATTGTTAGGGACAATATCAAGGTTGTCTTTAGTGTTCAAATTTTTCAAGATCAAACAAAAAAATCAATGTTTCCTTATCTCCACTCCTCTAGCATTCTTTTTATCCTCTGGAAATTTTTAGGAGCACCTGAGTGCCAGGTAATTCGTGTGACAAGATACGGTGCAATGATAACCAAACTGTGCAATGTCTTTCACACAGCTCAGTGAAAATATGTCAGACAGATCCCAAAGGCAGAGATCTGAAGGCACAGTTGAAGTTGCTCTGAGGAAAACAAACACAGACACGGAAGAGCTATGTACTTACTATGTCACATGAGTAGTGCGCCTCTGTCCTGCCTCAGACTGAGAAAGCACTGCCTAACGCGCATCTAGTGAGAAGATCATTTTTCCCACTTTCAGTTTGTTTATATGGTGGATTACATTTACTGATTTTCATATATTGAACCATCCTGGCATTTCTGGGATGAAGCCCTCTTGATTATGGTGGATGATCTTCTTGATGTGCTCCTGGATTCAGTTTACAAATACTTTATTGAGTATTTTTGCATCTTTTGATAAGGGAAATTGGTTTGTAATTTTCTTTCTTTGTTGAGTCTTTAGGTGATTTTGGGTATCAGGGTAACTGTGGTCCGATTAAATGAATTTGGCAATGTTCCTTCTGTTTCTATTTTGTGAAATAATTTGAGGAATAATGGCATTTGTACCTCTTTGAAAGTCTGGCAGAATTCTAAAACCATCTGGTCCTTATTTTGGTTAGAAGACTTTTAAAGACTGCTTCTATCTCCTGGTGGGATTATAGGTCTATTTAAATTGTTTATCTGATTTTGATTTAACCTTGCTTGGTAAGTGGTACCTATCAAGAAAATTATTCATTTCTTTTAGATTTTCCAATTTAGTGGAGCACAGGGTTTAAACTATGTCTTTATGATTCTCTGGATTTCCTCAGTGTCTGTTGCTTTGTCCTCCTTTTCATTTCTGATTTTATTAATCTGAATATTCTCTCTCCATCCTTTAGTTAGCTTGGATAAGGATTTTTCTACTTTGATTTTCTCAAAGAAGCAACTCTTTGCTTCACTGATTCTTTGTATTGTTCTCTTTGCTTCTGTTTTATTGATTTCAGATGAGTTTGTCATCTACACTATTAGGTGCTTGCTTCTTCTTGTTCTAGAGCTCTCGGGTGTGCTGTTAAGTTGCTACTATGAGATCTCAGAGACTGAAGCAGCAAGCATGGGGCCTGCATGAGTCTGTACCAGTTCCTCTGTGTGTATGTTGTGGCTGTTAGCTTGGTGTTTCTGTGGAACTCCTAACAATGGAAGTGGGTGGGTCTCTGACTCTTCTGCCTACTCCCAGGACTCTTTCCCTCTTGTTGGGTAGACTTATACAGCTGTGGTTTGAAGGCTTTCACCTTGTCTTCTGCCTTTTGTTTTGTCATATTTGGTTGTTTTCTACTGGTGACCTGCTCTTTTCTGAAGAGAGCCCGAGGGGACTGGATCAAGGAGGGGAATGTGGAGGGAGCTGGGAAGAGTGGAGCGAGTGGAAACTGTGGCTGGGATGTATTGTATGAGAGCAGACTCTATTTTCAATTTAAAAAAGGAAAGGAAAAGAAAGCAGAGTTTTACTTGCTCATAAAGAAGAAATTATGTTACCTGCAGGCAAACAGATGGAAGTAGAGGTTACCACAAAACAAGCCGCGTAAGAAAGACAGATGCTGCATGTTTTTCTCTCACATGCGGGTCGAGATTTAACACAAGGGGTGTGAAAACAGAAGGGAGGAGTGACTTGGAGTGAGATAGGCAGTCAGCAGGAGAGATGAGATGATGCTGAGAGAGTAACTGGGGAGCGGGCAATATGGCGCAAGTCCAGGATACACATGTATGAAAACACGGACACACATGTATGAAAACACCACGTCCAGGATACACATGTATGAAAACACGGACACACATGTATGAAACACCACGTCCAGGATACACATGTATGAAAACACCACATCCAGGATACACATGTATGAAAACACCACGTCCGGGACACTCATGTATGAAAACACCACGTCCGGGACACTCATGTATGAAAACACCACATATGGGACACTCATGTATGAAAACACCCTGTCCGGGATACACATGTATCTACAGAGAAGCCTTAACCAACAACCAGTGGGGGACCTGCATCTAAGGACCCATGAGGAACCGAAGGTTAATATCAGCATGGCCACTCCCACAGAAACAGGAGCTCATTTAGTCCATAGCAATGTAGAAAAAGAAACAACTATTTGTTTAGTCAGAAAAATTATAGGATGGCTCATATCACGGCACATGTATAGACACACACAGAGAAATTTAAAATATTTATTTGATTCAAAAAGCAACAGCTATTTTTAAAAGATCTAACGCGACAGAAGCTGCTTTCAGCTATCCCACGAACTTCCCACTGGTACTCCACCCAGCCAGCCTGTGTGCTGCTCTTTTCCTCCCTGAATTACTGGAATAATCTTATTCCTGCACGCTTTCCTTCTACACTTTCAGCATCAACAATTAGATATTTCACAGGACTAAATATCTTTATTTTTTTTTGCCAACACTCACAAGATCACAGAATAAAACTGTCAGTCCTTCTAGTATCTATGTGGAAAGGGAGTATTGTAGGAAGACATTCTACATCTTCAAGTCATCCATAATCCAAAGGTATAATTAATGATTCTCTGGAGACAAAGAATAAGCTACTGAGTATTCACGAGGGAAAGTACACTGAATTCCACTATCAAACATAATTTAAACCAATAGGTAAATATAACAAATGCCCTATCTTTGGTAAGAACAGGAAAGAATGAATATAAAGGAAAACTGTTTAACCACATCTTGGCTGAGAAGCCTATCTATATCTAGCACCCTAGATAGTATTTGGAGAAACTGAGAATGCTTGTAGACTTACCTGTGGGAGGCAGGCAGTCTTTCCAGTCAAAATAGCCTGCATATATCCCGGGTTCCAGGGATCCAACAATAGGATCTGCTTTTAGCTCAATGTAATTTTCAAAGAGTCGTTGGTCTAGTTCTTTCAGTGATGCCATGCTAACCTACAACACAAGAGAAAGAGTATAAGATGCCAATTGAGGAGCTAAGGAAAAATAATGCGAGTAAATATTCAATACACTTTAAAAAGAACTTTTCTATAAAGTTCAGGTTTCTAGCTTACCTACCTCAGTAATAAGGAGAACTATTAGCATGGCTATTTTACACAGTAAGAAAGCGTTTCCAACTATGGAGTACAGATTATGTGTGGAATACTTTAAACGTCCACTCTGTAGGCAGAGCAAACTGGCAGCATAAATACTAAGCAGCCACTAACCTACAATACAAAGGGCACCAACTGCAGTGTGCCACATCAGCGGTGTCACTGGAAGGCATCCTGCTCTAATAACCTGCCTGAGAGTTGTGGGAATTCGGACTTAGCCATATGGATATGGTCTTCTCTGGGTATGTGACCAGGTAAGAACTGAGGGTGAGAGCTGGGCTCTGTCTCTGGGATGGTGAGGGAACTGGCAGAGCTACGGCTCCCATGGCCTCCTCAAATCACATGTCTGCATGACTGAGATGTGCCTCAGCGCTGAGAAGACTGAACTTATACTACTGTTATTCCACGGAGACACAAAGTACAGGTCTTGTTCCCTCGCAGTTTAAACAATAAAACAAAGATGTTACTAGAGAGTCCTGGTTTGAGTACTACAGAGGCCCAGATCCAGGTACAGTTCAGCACAGACCACCTGTAGCTCCTGCTGGCAGGATGGGCAAAACAGACAGAGAGGCTACCATCAGCCTTACAGGAGTGGGCTTGGTTTCAATGGCACTCAAATGACTAAGATATCATTTGACAGCAAAGGTGTGCTGGCTAGGGGCACTCCGTAGCGGAACATGGCAATCTTCTTTCACACCACTTACCCGAGGGACACACAGGCTTCTTCAACACTGGACCTGAACAAACTGACGAGAAAGTGGACCGCACATCTAAGGAGTGCGCCTAACGGCAACCACAGCACCTACCAAACAGCGATGTGAGCAGCAGCAGGGACAGAGCACAACGACCGTCCTTCAGAGGGGGCACAGTAGACCAGAGAACAGGCTTTTATGGAGACAGCACATGTAGTTTTCAAAGAGACTGAAGTGAAAGGCAAGTTGTCCTTCAAAGCACAAAGTAACATATACAGAAATCTAAAATTGAAGTTAGAAACAAGGAAGATGGCCCCAGGAGGCTGTATAGCACAAACCCACAGAAATTCAATGGGGAGATATATGGTCAACAAAAGAAGAGTCAACAATCCAACAAGCAAAAGAAGATATTTTCCTGGATTTTGAGCCGGAGTTTGAGCTATAGTAGATTGCTGAAGACACTGTACATATCTAGGCGCACGCAATTAGAGTTCCCAGTTTTTAAGTGAATACAAGGGGTGAGACTCTCACATATTTTTAGAAGAAAGTAACGATACGTACAGAGAATCAAGGATCAGTGTGAGTTCTGAAATGCCATTCTCAAACCCGAGAGGTCACTGCAAGTATCTCCAGCAGTAAAAGAACCCAACCTCGGAACCATGTCAATCCCTTAACTAAGTCCACAAGACATACATTTGGTCATGAAAAGATACAGAGAACGTATCTTATGCATTTGTGAGAAGATGTACTAAACTGAAGTCAAACAAATCAGTCCGGGAAAGATGAACTGTCGAGGAAAACAGTGGTAGAAAACAAAATCCAGGTCCCTTCCCAAAGTCCTCCATGCCTAATATCTACAAACATAAACCTAGCAGACTAGAAGCATCCTAGAAAAGTGAAATATGAGTTCTACATAAGTATTCTTTTCAAAAAGGTTTTCTTTATGTGCTTTACCTGCCTATATGTATGTGCACCACTTGTATAATGTGCCTGAGGAGGCCCAGAAGACGACATCAGATCCCCTGGAGCTATGGGTGGTTGTGAGCTGCCATGTGGGTGCTGGGAACCACGCCAGTGTTCTCTGTAAGAACAGCAAGTGGTCTTGACTGCAGAACTATCTGTCCATCTCCAAAGATTCTTTAAAGTATTCTTAAAAGAGGGTACGGAATACAGTTCAGAGGTAGAGCCTTGCTTAGCATGTGCGAGGATTTGGTGATTGTTAGCAATGACCCCTCCAAGTCCTCAACAAGAAATTCTTAAGCAAAAGGAGATCGGCAAGGAAAATGCAGCCTTATCTAAACCTATGTGGAGACTAGGCAGTAAGTAAATAACTTTGAGCTACAGATATTTAAAGAGAGCACTTGAAAGGAAGAAAAGCTTAGAATTAATGTTTGAACTCCTTCAAGCAGCTATTATAATAGAAATTTAAAGTGTAAGGGAACCAATCCAGTTATTAAAGAAAACCATTAATGCCAAACATAGTATGTAGGTTTGTTGAAAAAAAAAGTGAGATGTAGTTCAATGGTAGAACATTTGCCTACTATGTGTACAAGGTCCTGGGTTGAATACCTGGTACTGTAAAAAACAAACAACACAAACAAACAAAAAACCCTAGGGGATGGGAGAAGAAGTGGGAAAGGAGGAAGGGGAGCAAGGGATGAAAGAAAAGGAAGAAAGAGGAAAGTTCCCAGCAAGGCCAATCTGCAAATGAAGATGAGGCTGGGAGACCACCGAGTGGGTAAAGAGATTGCCATGTATCCACTTAGAAAACCACTTGTGTAAAAGAGCCAGGCCACAATAGACAGTTGTGGTGACACAAACTTGTGATCTCCACACTGAGGAGGCAGAGACAGGCAGACACCTGAGATTACCAGCCAGGCAGCCTAGCCTGATCAGTGAGCAACAGTTCTTGGTAAGAGACTGCCTCAAAAAACCAACATGGACATTCATAAGGAATGACATATGAGGATGACCCCTGACCTCTACATGCAAGTGCATACAGACCATGCATACCTGCACACACACAAAGGAAGCTGCACACATGTGAACATGCATGCACACTCTCCTGTACACATACCCGTAAACAATGGAAAACAAATGGCTGAGAACAGAACACCTACACTAGCAGGCTAGAGAGAGGGTGTCACAGTTTCATTCCAGGAAGTCTGGTAATGTTGAGAAAGCAGACAAACTCAAAAGTCATTCGAGGCTACTATTTTAAAAAGCTTTGCACTTGCTACTTTTGTAGAGGACCAGAGTTCAATTCCCAGGACTTTCATTGGCTGGCTTACAACAATCTGTAAGTCCAACCCCAAGAGAGCTAATGCCCTCTTCTGGCCTCTGTGGGCACCTAAACATACCTGGTATATGCATGCACGCACCCACATGTGTGCACGCAACATGCACACACACACACACACACACACACACACACACACCCTTGGTGCGGGACAATTGTCTGTATTCTGTCAATTATATTTTAAATAAACGCTGATAGGTGAGTAGCCAGGCAGGAAGTATAAGCGGGACAACCAGACAGGAAGTAGAGATAGGTCAATGAGAACAGTTGAATTCTGGGAAGAGGAAAGCTCTCTCTGCAGTCCTGGCCCAGCCACAGAAGAAGCAAAATGTGACTGCCTCGCTGAAAAAGGTACTGAGCCATATGACTAACACAGATAAGAAATACGGGTTAATATACGTTATAAAGAGTTAATAGGAAGCTGAGCTAATGGGCCCATCAGTTTTATGACTAATGTAGACCTCTGTGTGATTTCTTTAGGACTTAACAATTGCGGGAACTGGGCAGGAAAGAAACCCCGTCAACACACATTAGTAAGATAAATCTTCAAAACTTAATTTGGAAGAGCCAGGCATGGTGGCACATGCCTTTAATCCCAGCACTCAGGAGGCAAAGGCAGGTGTATCTCTGTGAGTTGGAGGCCAGTCTGATCTACTAAGCGAGTTCCAGGACAGCGAAGGCTGTTACACAAAGAAACCCTGTCTCAAAAAATCAAAAATATAAATCAATTTGTAACAAGAAACCAGCTGATAATAAGAGGGGTCGCTACTAACAGAAAAAAGCAAACTGGATGAAGCAGGATGCAGGTCAATGACAGCCTAAGAGCTGGCCAGTAGGTTGCTTTCCCTTGCAGGGGGGGTCTCAGCGACTCACTAAACCTGGGTGCTCAATACAGCTACACCTCAAATGGTGCGTTCATTCCCTGTGACTGCTTATAACCCACCGGACACCTGAGGATTAGGCTTCACTCCTGTGCTCCAGTCTCTCCCTCAATGGCATAATCACACACCGTCACTGACCCGTTTAGCCCTCGCCCCATCAGAAGGATGGGAGGATGAGATGAACAACTGCACTCCAGTATCTTCACCACTAGTGTTCGAAATCATTCCACAGTTAAGTTAGCTGTTTCTCCTTCCTTACTATCCCCAGAAAAACCGGGTTTCTAGAGATGAGAATTAACTGAAATATAATTCCAACGAACAGGACATTTCGGTGAAATCAGACACACGTGAAGATAGGATGAATGAGAGAGCAGAAGAAATACCCCTAATTTTAGTACTGAGAATTAATGATGAGGATCAATGAACGCTGACAAACTGAAGCACCGTGGAGAATGAAGTGAGGAAGTTTTGTGGTTGATGAGCTAATAAGAATGTACGGTTAAATACCAGCCACTGATGGGAAGGAAATATGAAATATGATGAAAAGGCCAGCGGTTCAGAGGGCAACAAGACTTTGTCAAGCTGACATTGGTTAAAGAAAAGCTATTCTATACAGACAGGGAAAGCCACAGGCAAATGTTCTTTCAACAGAGCACAGGAAGCCGGTGCTGAGTGAGTGGCTGAAAGAACAAATGAACGAGAAAGACAGATAGATCAAATGAGTTGAATGACAGCCCCCTAAAGTTAGGGAGACGGATGAAAGCCTCCACCAACATCAGCTAGGGCCATTTAGGTTTCATTCTTCAGGCAAGGAGATGTTCAAGAATATGGGACGGAGGAAGAACTGTGCAGTAGATTGGTTTCTGGATACTCTGTGAAAGATGAGCTGGATATCAGAAAGAAAACAAAAAGGTGAGAAAAAAAAATACATCTGCAGAGCAGGTTCTTGAAACACCTGAGTCAGAGGAGG